ATCTTTGTGTTGAGTGAGAGCCAATCTTTGTGTTGAGTGAGAGCCAATCTTTGTGTTGAGTGAGAGCCAATCTTTGTGTTGAGTGAGAGCCAATCTTTGTGTTGAGTGAGAGCCAATCTTTGTGTTGAGTGAGAGCCAATCTTTGTGTTGAGTGAGAGCCAATCTTTGTGTTGAGTGAGAGCCAATCTTTGTGTTGAGTGAGAGCCAATCTTTGTGTTGAGTGAGAGCCAATCTTTGTGTTGAGTGAGAGCCAATCTTTGTGTTGAGTGAGAGCCAATCTTTGTGTTGAGTGAGAGCCAATCTTTGTGTTGAGTGAGAGCCAATCTTTGTGTTGAGTGAGAGCCAATCTTTGTGTTGAGTGAGAGCCAATCTTTGTGTTGAGTGAGAGCCAATCTTTGTGTTGAGTGAGAGCCAATCTTTGTGTTGAGTGAGAGCCAATCTTTGTGTTGAGTGAGAGCCAATCTTTGTGTTGAGTGAGAGCCAATCTTTGTGTTGAGTGAGAGCCAATCTTTGTGTTGAGTGAGAGCCAATCTTTGTGTTGAGTGAGAGCCAATCTTTGTGTTGAGTGAGAGCCAATCTTTGTGTTGAGTGAGAGCCAATCTTTGTGTTGAATGAGAGCTAATCTTTGTGCTGCGTGAGAGCCAATCTTTGTGCTGCGTGAGAGCCAATCTTTGTGTTGAGTGAGAGCCAATCTTTGTGTTGAGTGAGAGCCAATCTTTGTGTTGAATGAGAGCCAATCTTTGTGCTGCGTGAGAGCCAATCTTTGTGTTGAGTGAGAGCCAATCTTTGTGTTGAGTGAGAGCCAATCTTTGTGCTGCGTGAGAGCCAATCTTTGTGTTGAGTGAGAGCCAATCTTTGTGTTGAGTGAGAGCCAATCTTTGTGTTGAATGAGAGCCAATCTTTGTGCTGAGTGAGAGCTAATCTTTGTGCTGCGTGAGAGCCAATCTTTGTGTTGAGTGAGAGCCAATATTTGTGTTGAGTGAGAGTCAATCTTTGTTTTGAGTGAGAGCCAATCTTTGTGTTAGTGAGAACCAATCTTTGTTTTGAGTGAGAGCCAATCTTTGTGTTGAGTGAGAGCCAATCTTTGTGTTGAGTGAGAGCCAATCTTTGTGTTGAGGGAGAGCCAATCTTTGTGTTGAGTGAGAGCCAATCTTTGCGTTGAGGGAGAGCCAATCTTTGTGTTGAGTGAGAGCCAATCTTTGTGTTGAGTGAGAGCGAATCTTTGTGTTGAGTGAGAGCCAATTTTCGTTTTGAGTGAGAGCCAAACTTTGTGTTGAGTGAGAGCCAATCTTTGTGTTGAGTGAGAGCCAATCTTTGTGTTGAGGGAGAGCCAATCTTTGTGTTGAGTGAGAGCCAATCTTTGTGTTGAGGGAGAGCCAATCTTTGTGTTGAGTGAGAGCCAATCTTTGTGTTGAGTGAGAGCCAATCTTTGTGTTGAGTGAGAGCCAATCTTTGTGTTGAGTGAGAGCCAATCTTTGTGTTGAGTGAGAGCCAATCTTTGTGTTGAGTGAGAGCCAATCTTTGTGTTGAGTGAGAGCCAATCTTTGTGTTGAGTGAGAGCCAATCTTTGTGTTGAGTGAGAGCCAATCTTTGTGTTGAGTGAGAGCCAATCTTTGTGTTGAGTGAGAGCCAATCTTTGTGTTGAGTGAGAGCCAATCTTTGTGTTGAGTGAGAGCCAATCTTTGTGTTGAGTGAGAGCCAATCTTTGTGTTGAGTGAGAGCCAATCTTTGTGTTGAGTGAGAGCCAATCTTTGTGTTGAGTGAGAGCCAATCTTTGTGTTGAGTGAGAGCCAATCTTTGTGTTGAGTGAGAGCCAATCTTTGTGTTGAGTGAGAGCCAATCTTTGTGTTGAGTGAGAGCCAATCTTTGTGTTGAGTGAGAGCCAATCTTTGTGTTGAGTGAGAGCCAATCTTTGTGTTGAGTGAGAGCCAATCTTTGTGTTGAGTGAGAGCCAATCTTTGTGTTGAGTGAGAGCCAATCTTTGTGTTGAGTGAGAGCCAATCTTTGTGTTGAGTGAGAGCCAATCTTTGTGTTGAGTGAGAGCCAATCTTTGTGTTGAGTGAGAGCCAATCTTTGTGTTGAGTGAGAGCCAATCTTTGTGTTGAGTGAGAGCCAATCTTTGTGTTGAGTGAGAGCCAATCTTTGTGTTGAGTGAGAGCCAATCTTTGTGTTGAGTGAGAGCCAATCTTTGTGTTGAGTGAGAGCCAATCTTTGTGTTGAGTGAGAGCCAATCTTTGTGTTGGGTGAGAGCCAATCTTTGTGTTGAGTGAGAGCCAATCTTTGTGTTGGGTGAGAGCCAATCTTTGTGTTGAGGGAGAGCCAATCTTTGTGTTGAATGAGAGTTAATATTTGTGTTGAGTGAGAGCCAATCTTTGTGTTGGGTGAGAGCCAATCTTTGTGTTGAATGAGAGCCAATCTTTGTGTTGAATGAGAGCCAATATTTGTGTTGAGTGAGAGCCAATCTTTGTGTTGGGTGAGAGCCAATCTTTGTGTTGAGGGAGAGCCAATCTTTGTGTTGAGTGAGAGCCAATCTTTGTGTTGAGTGAGAGTCACTCTTTGAGTTGAGTGAGAATCTTTGTGTTGAGTAAGAGCCAATCTTTGTGTTTAGTGAGAGCCAATCTTTGTTTCGAGTGAGAGCCAATCTTTGTGTTGACTGAGAGCCAATCTTTGTGTTGAACGAGAGCCAGTCTTTATGTTGAATGAGAGCCAATCCTTGTGTTAAGTGAGAGCCAATCTTTGTTTTTTTGCTTCACCGGTCCTAATACCACGTTGCACGTGGATGCTAATGTTACAGACATCTCTTATGTTTTGCCACTGAAGTTCTATCAGGCCATCATCTGTTTGGTCTTGCAGTGCATGGATCTTATTTCTCAAGGTAACACTAAATTTCCGTCGTTTTTGCTAATTTGCCAAAGTTCTATGTTTCTATATTTGTCTCCTAGCAGCTGACTCTTTCCAGTTTTTCTTCAGTTTTAACCTGTCTTGCCCAAACTAGATGGTGATCAGATGAAAAATCAGCTCCTTTTCTAGCTCGTACATCTTGTCGAGACCTTCCGGCAGGGGTGGACTGGGCCGCCGGGAAGATTCCCGATGGGCCGCTAGGACCGGTGATATAATACAAATAAAAGTCAGGAAGATGGGGCCGCTTTTTGATTTTTTCCCGGGCCGCTTGAACTCCCCAGTCCACCCCTGCCTTCCGGATGTTTAGCTAATGCATGTATCATACATTGTATGGTCAATAAGCAGATGTATTATGAAAAATTGGATTCTAGCATGTGATCAAATATTTTTCTGCTAAAAATGTGGAAGAAAACGTGTTTAAATTTAAAAAAATAAATAAGTTTGGGTTTATCGTTATTATTGATTGATTTTGTGTAAATATTGAGCCAGACAGAATTTGGACAAAAAAAAAAAAAAAAAAAAGCCAATATTTGTGTTGAGTGAGAGTCAATCTTTGTGTTGAGTGAGAGCCAATCTTTGTGTTGAGGGAGAGCCAATCTTTGTGTTGAGTGAGAGCCAATCTTTGTATTGAGTGAGAGCCAATCTTTGTGTTGAGTGAGAGCCAATCTTTGTTTTCAGTGAGAGCCAATCTTTGTGTTGAGTGAGAGCCAATCTTTGTGCTGAGTGAGAGCTAATCTTTGTGCTGCGTGAGAGCCAATATTTGTGTTGAGTGAGAGTCAATCTTTGAGTTGAGTGAGAATCTTTGTGTTGAGTGAGAGCCAATCTTTGTGTTGAGTGAGAGCCAATCTTTGTGTTGAGTGAGAGCCAATCTTTGTGTTGAATGAGAGCCAATCTTTGTGTTGAATGAGAGCCAATCTTTGTGTTGAGTGAGAGCTAATCTTTGTGCTGCGTGAGAGCCAATATTTGTGTTGAGTGAGAGCCAATCTTTGTGTTGAATGAGAGCCAATCTTTGTGTTGAATGAGAGCCAATATTTGTGTTGAGTGAGAGCCAATCTTTGTGTTGGGTGAGAGCCAATCTTTGTGTTGAGGGAGAGCCAATCTTTGTGTTG